TATTTAAATCAGATATCCATCCAGTTTCTGTTGTGGCAAATCTCCCGTCTTAATTCAAAATCAGCAGAGTCTGGTTCAGGTCTTGAAGAATTACTTCATCGAGCAGTTCAACAAAGTGAGATGTAGGCCAGGCATCTGAAGTTACACCGGTCTGTACTCATCATCTTATACTCTTTTCTTATCTTCGTTGTCCAATTGGTACCTGTTCACTTATCTCTTCTCCTCCTCCCTCTTTCGCCACAGTTATAATTACATAAAGCTGATACCCGTTTTAACTGTGGCGAGCTATGAGCTCATATGTTTTTTTTTTAAAAATCACTGATGTATACATTTTTATTTACGTAACCATGAGTTTAAATACATTCTGTTTGCATGACCATGAGTTTGGTCAAACAGATGTGAGTGCACCAGTTTGTGCAATCTTCCTTTATATGACCCTTGCCCTTAAATGTACACAGAAACTTGCATATGCATTCTTTTCTAAACTTTCTGGAGATCATTCTCTGATTTACACATTGTACATGAGACAAGCAGAATTCTCCAACATTTCCAAAATGCTTGCCCTATTTAGGGTCACAGGTATCAGGCTCTGCAGCTGACAGTTTTATATGGTTGTATTTTAGGGTCTCTGTAATGCATCCCTTTCCACTTACAGTAACTAAACTACATACAGTTATAGACCTCATCGGACCGAACAACTTTCGTGCTCTAAGTCACGTTCTGGAATTGTTGTTCTGGAATTTGATATACTCCTCCAAAGGGATTTATCCGATCACCACCAAACTCGGTGTGCATGAAGCAAAGACTTTGAAAATGCTACATTGTGAGGGGATTTTTGATCTCTCAAAGGTTTTGGGCGTGGCAAGGCAATGACCTTGTGGCGAAAAGGGGAAAACTGGAAGCGTCTTATAACTTCTGAATACATTGACTGGTTTTGAATAACAAAATACAGGCAACCAATTATTTGTAGTGCACACTGGCAACATAGTTTTATATAATTAGCTTAACAATAAGGTTGATATATATATATTTCAGTTAAGAGATGAATACTTATGGAATTACAAAATTGAGCTGCAAATAACTTCACAATCCTTTCAAAGTGACCTATAACATCCTATGACATCATATTCATTTAAATGTAAAAGATCTCCAGGATGTGGCTGCTGTTCTTTATAGTCATAGTGGGACCAGCTGCTGCAGTAAATGTGGCATATTCAAAGTTAGGCTCTTGGGCATGCTGAAAATCAGCCATTATTACAAGGATGAAAAACTTACTAAGTATTACAACATTAATAAAGGTGACTTGAAAGGTAACGACTAATTGTTGAAAACAAAAATTATATAAATTTGGTATAAAAAATATTTAAAAAATATAATTTGGTACATTAAATGTTATTTCACAGCTCTCATGACTTTTCTAACAACAACAACCAAAACATACATTCACCATTACCACTGATGAACTGATGAAGTTTTATAACCTTAATGACCTCCAGCATCATTAATGAAGAATCAAGAATAAACACCAACCTCTTTGTTCTTCAGTATCCTCATGTTTTGTTCTACAGGATTCTGGATCAATCATGTTCTTCTCACTGTTCAACTCTGTCGTCATCAGTCTTAGACTGATGAAAACATTCCAGCATTTATTGGTGATGTCTTGTCAGAGGAGCCTCACTGAAGGTGAATTGATGTGTGACAGCAGAAGATCTGCAAAAATAAAATTATTGAATTGATATTTTCCTTAATTTACATTATATATATATCCCCAAGTACCATTGCTTTTGTTAGCTGTTTTTATGTGAAAATTAGGAATCAGTCACAGACTATAACAAAGAAATGCCCTTAAGAGATGTGTATCTAGTAGATATCAAAAGTGGTGATGGTATATTGCCTGTCTTTTGAGTTGACACCAATGAAATTAACTTTAAATAACAATTACTCTGAAGACATCGGGATAATGAATGAGCTGAAAACAGAAAGTAACTGATTTGTGTTTGTGGTAGAAACATTATTTGAGTCGTGATGTATGCAGTTAAACGAGTATAAAACTGTTTTGTAGTATATTATTGCTCACAATCTAGTACATTATCAATAATACTCACAGTAAAACATAAATTATGCATCCAAAACAAATCAAAATGACATTAATCTTAATATTTTTTTCCACTTCCTCTCGGTTAGAGAAATTAACCACTTTAGTTACAGTTACAGTTATAACTTATATAATGTCAATATTGAATCTACAGTTCTATTTTCAAATTAATAATTTACATTCAAAGCAAAAAAACAAAAACAACTACATCGTTGTGCAGAAATGGTCATAAGTTACCTTAAAAATGAAGAACACGAGCTATATTTCAATATTTCCTTTATCAAACTTACTTCACATTTATATACACATTCACGTTTACCTTTGATGAAACATTTAAACTTTAGGGCCCCGCGTGGCTAACGTTACTCACAGGCTCAATATGAAGTATTTGTCAGTAACTCTTGGACTACATTATTGAATTATAACTCCATAAAACAACTAAAGCCTACAAAACACCGCTAATTTAGCGATGACAACTTCGTCCTCGTCTTCAAGTACTACTAATACTTCTTCTTTTTCCTCCTCCTCCTCCGTCTCCTCTTCTTCTTCTTCCTGTTTAACGGCGGATTGCAACCATGACTTTTGAAGGTGCATACTGCCACCTATTGTATCGAAGTAAGTAACTATTATTCGTTGGGACCACTTACTGTCTATGGTACCACTTTATGTAAAAAAGAAGAAAAACCATTGGGTTAAATATTTAATGGCCAAATTGTTTGGTCCATTTCCTAACAGGGAGTTATAAATGATTGATTATAGATCTTAAAGTGGAAATCAGTTTACAAGATAATGTCAACTTTATATTATATTAAATTATACATTATATTACTACTTCTGATTGGAAAAGAGCACATTAACAAATCTACACAGAATAGATATGAGGGTATATCACCATTAGTTAAGATAATTTCTGTCCAATTCCTCGATTCAGTCTCGTGGTGACCTCGGAGGTTGTGGAAAGGCGTCTCTGGGTCCGTTGTTGTATACAAGAGTGTTCATAACTCCTATACAATGACTATATGTACATGTAAACACTCACAGCAACATGTGGTTAAAAGTATATTTAAATCGCTTATTGAATATTTAAATGATTATATTTGAACATGCTTATATTCTATTATTGTTTTGTTTTTTTATAGGAATAATGTTATGATTCAGAAGGATATATAGGTATTTATATATTGGAGAGACAAGGGATGCTGACATGCTAGCAAAAAGCCATAGAATTTGAGATGACCTGAGCATTACCTGACTAGAACAAATGCTTTAAAATTAATTTGGGGTTTTTATATGATATTGGATATGAAGGGTAAAACAGAGAATGTTCTTTGAAATATAAGTAAGTTATTAGGCAAATCAAAAGCTCTATTTGGGAAATTTAAAACATTAAAATACCACAACACATTCATAATACTTATTTTGCATCTGGATTTCATAATTATAAACTACATGTCGTTGAATTATGGTACATTGATCTGAGACGTTTAAAATGACTGGTCATAAAGATGAACTTTGTTCACTATGATTTTTATTTTATTGTTCAGTCTCTTGTAACAGCTGGTTATAGAAGATTTATATGAAGATATTGCTTGATGCATTGTCACATTTGGTGAGGGCGCGGTGTTGCTGGATCTGAAGATGAACTGCTTACTTAGATTTTAGACAGTTGTTTTTTATATGACTGAGTTGAGAACTCAGCCAAGCGAAACTTTTCCCACACTGAGGGCAGTGATACGGTTTCTCTCCAGAGTGGGTCCGCTCATGTTGTTTCATTGATGTTGACTGTCGAAATCTCTTGTCACATTGTGAACACTTGAAACGTTTTTCTCCAGTGTGAATCCTCAGATGCACTTTCAATCCAGTAATTTGGGCAAAAGAAATCCCACACTGATCACATATGTACAGCTTCTCTCCAGTGTGGATTGCTGTGTGTTTCTGAAGGTTTCCTTTTAGTGTGAAACTCTTCCCGCACTAATCACATCCACGAAGGTGAGAATAAATTAATAAGAATTGGTTTTTTTTTAACTGTTACACACCGTTTTTCAAGTCTAAATCCTCCTAAAATCCTCTCCTGACAACTTTGTCAGACAAAAATGGCTGATTCGACAAATATTGAATTATGATTGGTCAGATCGCCTGTCAATCAATCTCCCTGCGAAGGGTCAATTCTGAGACATTATTTTCTTTTCTCACAATTGGACTTTATATCGCAACTGCAAATTTAAATCTCACTTAAATCCCATCACTAAAATGATACAGAGAAGATTTCGACATTAAAGCAGGAGGAGCCTTTTAGAGTCACACCTACCTATTACTTAATCGCTACGGACCAATGGCAGTATGAAGGCGTTTTCCAGGCAGAGCGAATTTATCCAAAGTTCACTTTGGCAAGCTGTTTCACCCTCACGGAAACGAACACAAACTTAGTTTTAGCCTAATTTTGTTTGAAAGGACATAACATCAGTTCTTCAATTTCACTTGAAGGATAAGTCTGTCTTAAAGTAACACCATCAGAGGGAGTTGCCGTGATTGAAATTGTGAAGCACTGTGAACAACTCACCTGCCCAAGATTTGAAGCTGACTAAATCTTTAAACAAGGACTTCTCACACTCAATGCACATGATACTTCACACCACTGTCTCTTCTCTGGTGTAAAACCATCCATTCCTGAAAAGTGCTTTCCACACAAAGAACACATGAGACTTTTTCTTTAAATGAACGTTCAGGGCCTTCTACAGTGAATCTGCCAAAAAAAGTTTTTACAACACTGATCACAGTTAAACAGTCATTCTCCAGATGTAAATTGAAAGCACTTACATGTGTGCGGCTTCTGTCTAGTGTGGATTTTCATTTGGATTTTATGGATTTTTATGGTTTCCAAGATGTGACCAGGTTTTTTTTTTTACTCTTCATTTTAGTAAAAAATTATTTCCAACTCAGAGATTTTTCTCCAGTATTGACATGACTTTTCTCCTCCACTTCATTCAGTTCTTCACTTTCCATCAGGTCTAAAATGAAAGTAAAATGCTTTAATTTTTAGTAAATCGTGAATAAAATATGAGAGAAATGTGAAGGGAACAGTCATAATTTAAGAATAGAAAGTAGTGCTTAACTGCTGAAAAAGCATATGGTTTTGTTTTGTTCAATGCAAATCTTTTCATTATAACCAACAAAGTGTAAACACAATGTAAATAAAACATTCATTGAACAATTAATACAATTTTGCTGGAGTTCAGAACTTAGTGAGCTTGCCCATTAGAGATTGAAAGCCTTGGTAATTTAAAAGGGAGGCTCTTCTCTTTTTTCTGATTATTACCCATTCACAATCTGAAAGTTTAGTTATTCATCCCGCATAAACTTAATTTTTTTTAGATTGAACCAAGTTCACTGTGCTAATGCCACCAAATGATCTCAAATAGCAGCTATAGACATATGACCCAAAGCTTATGTTATTGGCCAGCCCATTTCTCAGGGTTCCCACTCTTTCTGTAAATAAATACATATAAATATAAAATAAATACACTCCTTGAAAAATAAGAGTGAGAAAAATTCCTCATTTTGTGTGAAAGGTCATGTATTCATTACAACTGCAGAATTTCTGTATTTGGGGCTTTTTCCAAAATCGTATATTATCAAGCAATTTGGGTTTTGCCGATTTTTATTGCACTATATGTGATAACTGTTTTTCCATGAAACGATTTGTTTCATTTTGATCAAGGTTGCAGCCAAACATCCCCCTCACTTTTATGATGATCTTCAGCCACTCAATCTCTTCAGTATTATTAATAAGAAATCAAGAATAAACACAAACCTCTTTGTTTTTCAGCATCATGAAGAACTTTCCACTCCTCAATGTCATCTTCTGCTAGTGTAACTGTGATCTCTGTCATTGTTCTGCCAAAAACAGTTCACAAAAAATAGGCATGATAAATATTAAACATTTCAGATTCTGCACGCTTTCTTAGTGACTATTACTGTACATTGATCATGTGACTCAAGATTTTCTAGTCATACTAGATAACATGGATCATCAATTTTGTCAAAGCCACAACAGCCTATTTGTTTTTAAAAATAGTCTTTGATGTAAATTTAAATTAGTCAAATCTAGATCATTTTGCTGTTTCACTTAGATTTTTGGGTCTATCTAAATATCAAATCATGTCGCAACCGTATGTGACATGACAAGATTCCTGCGATTCCAGTCACAATGCTGCACAGTGTGGTACAATAACAACCATCCGAAGCATATCTGATATTTAACATTGTTTTGTGGAGAGGGATTTATGATTCATTCATTTTCCCGGTAGGTGGGGCTATCTATCATAACCAGTGTTGGGTGTAACTACTTTGTAATTACTAAGTATTTAGTTGCTGTAATTTAATTACTTTTCCCTTGAAAATGTAAAGTAAGGGATTACTCTTCATTTATCTGTAATTTAATTACAGTTACTTCTGATGTAACTGAGGTAAATACTGTGTATAGATCAATCCGATCTCACAGCGATTCGTATGCATTTTATGAGGCGTCTAAATATTACGACCGCACTCGTACAAATTCGTATGAATTATTGTAAAATATGTATAAATGTCATGAGATCAGACATAAAACAATAGTGGGTTTAACATCGAAATGTATTGTCTGATGCTAAAAAAGTATGTTTTTATAATGTAACCTTCTCCACCTTGGTCAGTTTAAGGATAATTCATGCAATTTTATAGTATTTATTTGAAAGAACTAAAACAGATTCATGTCTATCCTTGTATTATTCAGCTGGTTGAGATTGATATGGGATTTTGAAAGTAATTAGTAATTAAAAGTAATTAAATACTTTTTAGAGCGAGTAATTAGTACAGTAATCTAATTACACTGTTGAAGAGGTAATTAGTAACTAGTAATTAATTACTTTTTTAGAATAACTTACCCAACACTGATCATAACGAGACAAAACTATGTCCTTCCACACACTGCAGCATTACATACATACATATTCATTCATTCATTCATTCATTCATATATTTACATAAATTTAGATTTATACAGATTTTTTTCTCTAATCGTATATTTGAAGAGGATGCAGTGTCACAATTAAAAGTGCAGATTCTGACAGTACTTACCTTGACCTCGGACAACTGTTTTTACTATGGGTGAGTAGAGTAGCTAATTGAGCGAAACTCTTCCGACATGCACGGCAGTGATACGGCTTCTCTCCGGTGTGGATCCTCTCGTGCGCTTTCAAATGTTGTGACTGGCTGAATCTCTTGTCGCAGTGTGAACACTTGTAAGGTTTTTCTCCAGTGTGGATCCTCTGGTGTCGTTTCAATTTGTTAGGAGTAGCAAACGTCCTCAAACACTCGACACATGCATGAGCTTTAAAACCGGTGTGTATTTTCTGGTGTATTTTAAAAGCGCCCGGCCATTTAAAATTCTTTCCACACGAAGAACACACGTAAGGCTTCTCCTTCGCGTGAACTTTCAGGTGCTTCTTCAGGGTATCTGCCCCAAAAAAGTTTTTCCCACACTGATCACAGAAATATTTTCTTTCTCCAGAATGAGAATACAGATGTGATTTAAAAGCACTGACATGTTTGAAACTCATCCCACACTGATCACATGAGTACGGCTTCTCTCCAGTGTGGATGTTCATGTGATCATTAAGGGATCCTTTATGTGTGAAACTCTTCCCGCACTGATCACATGCGTACGGTTTCTCTCCGGTGTGTGTCTTCTCATGAGTTTTCATGTTTCCCAACTGGCTGAATCTCTTGTCGCAGTGTGAACACTTGTAAGGTTTTTCTCCAGTGTGGATCCTCTGGTGCTTTTTCAATTCAACATTTTTAAAAAAGGTCTTTCCACAGTCAAAGCACATGTGATTCTTCACACCGCTGTGTCTTTTCAGGTGTAATTTTAAAGCAAGCAGCCGACTGAAGTTTTTTCCACACAAAGGACACGCGTGAGGCTTCTCTTTTGAATGAACGTTCAAGTGGACCTTTAGTTCATCTGCTTCACCAAAGTTTTTCCCACATTGATCACATGTGTAGCGTTTCTCTCCAGTGTGGATCTTCATGTGTTCTTTAAGGTTTCCTTTTCGTGAGAAACTCTTCCCGCACTGATCGCATGTGTGTGGCTTCACTCCAGTGTGGATTGCCGTGTGTTTCTTAAGGTTTCCTTTTAGTGTGAAACTCTTCCCGCATTGATCACATGAGAAAGGCTTCTCTCCGCTATGAATCCTAATGTGAAGTTTAAGACTTTTCTTGTATGGAAAACTCTTTCCACAAGGAGGGCAAGTGAAAGATTTTTTGGCTTCTTTTTTCAGTTCAAAACTACTTTCAGTTTGTGAGCAACTTTCTTTAGTTTTGACATTTTTTTCTTCTGCTTCACTGATTTCTTCACTCTCCTTGTTCTCTTTCATCATGTCTAAAATGGAAGTAAAAAGCTTTATTTTTAAACATGAACAACTCAAAGAGACGATATGATCTTAGTAGTACCCTGCTTATGGAAAGTGTTTGGTGTATTATTTGCAACTTCAATGTAATTTCACATGTTTTATGACCTGTCTAACTAAGACCACTAAATCTGCTGAACTGCTTGAAGTTGTATGATCTTAAAGGGATAGTTCACTTTGAAATTAATTTTTGATATGTTTTCGCTTACCTCAAGGGCATCCAAGATGTAGGTGTCTTTGTTTCCAGAGTATAATTTTGATATTTTTCAGACCGAAGTGTAATTGACCTTTCGCCGGCCCCTCCCACAAAATGGCCATTGTCCAATCACACATCATAGCAACCGTTACTATGTGAGCTGTTCCGTCAAACAGTAAGCGGTGCGCCCACGGCGTTAGTAAATCGGACACATGATACCCCGAGAGATTGTCTGGAGAAGTTGTGTTTTTTCCCTTTCCAAAGCCCAAAACACAACGCGAGCCGTGCCTAAGATGTATTAAACAGTGTGGACGGCCCAATTCCAGTTAAATGTGTCGAACATGGTTAACTTGTCTCGCGTGCAGCGTGCGTGCGACTGAGATTAGTTAAAGAAGCACGGAGAAAGCAGATCAAGAGGATCCACAAAGGACTTACTGTACATTTTCTAAAGGGTTGTTGTTAACATACCATGATATTCTCTGGGAAAATGAGCAGCAGTCAGCTAAGTTAGCAGTGCAGCACCGTAGACTACAGTTTAGAGGACGTTCGCAACGGGGAAAGCATGAAGCTTACATGACAACATCAGTTCATATATCAATATCGTAACGAATAGAAATAACCTTAAATAACGTATGGTTCTCTGCCTCTTTCCGTCTCTTATGCATAACGTTAGTTACTTTTTAAACACGAAAATCGCATTCAGCATGAGCATGACACGCAATCGGTTGCTGTGGTAATGAACAACCTGCTTGTTAAAGCGAACGTGTACTCCTGTATCGGAGGCAAAATGAACAAATATGCAGCGCAAGTTATTATTTCGAACTCCAAACAATTAGCCACTGAACCAGTTTTAAAATCTTCAAGGCTGTGCTGGTTGCATTTGAGGTAACTTAGCATGGTCATGGGGTTTTTCTGATTTTTCTTGAGACTGGTAAGCATTAGCATCAATAGTAGTCGTGTCTCATTCATTTCTTAATTTTATATTTGGAATAAATCCCTCCACCGCATACCGTAACCCCTTTTGCTTCGATCTTGCTTGATATCGCGGAGGTATTGCTCCAAAAAAGGTCACTGACACGCACGGGAATACCCTTTGCCGTCATGGCAATCTGTCGCGCTGCCCGTGTTTGACCATTTGTTTGACGGAGGTAGCAGCAGTAACTAAGGGGGGCGGGGCTCGGCGAAAGGCTAATTACATTTATGAGTCATTCAATCATGTTTAATATGGACTTCTCTGTGCATGCTCTTTGAGGTGGTGACCATAGACCTCCATTATATGATTGATGGACAAGAACGGTTTGACCTAAAAATATCAAAATTGAAAATACTGTGGAAACAAAGACACCTACATCTTGGATGCCCTTGAGGTAAGCTAAAACATATCAAAAATTAATTTCAAAGTGAACTATCCCTTTAAAGATCTTCAGCATCATCAATAAAGAATGAATAAACACCAACCTCTTTGTTCTTCAGTATCTTCATGTTTTATTCTGCAAGGTTCTTGAACATTCATGTTCTCACTGTTTTTTCATAATCATCACTTGATGGGAGTAGTCCAGCATTTATTGCTAAATTGTGGTCCTAAAAGGAAATCTATAAAAAATAAAATAAAAAATAAATCAGTTATTAAATTGACGGTTTCATTAATACACACAATGCTTGTGAAATTACTGAATGTTTTTGACCAATTCATTTTTATACACTTTTTTTATCTTTACCTGCAAAATGGGCGTACTGATAAAGATCCATATTTCTAATTGTATCTATTGTTATTTTTGACCTTTATTTTCCTATGTAAAAATATCTAAACTAATAATGAGGGGAAAAAACTGAAGAAACTCTGGAATGTAAATATAAGCAAAAAAACAAAAAAACAGACCAATGAGATCAACTTCATTTTTTTGGTTTTGTTAATTGATTTTTATTGTTTTATTTTTGCATGAAAAATGGTTTCATCAGACTAAATGGAATAAAGACAGTTAATAGATTTATATTTTGTATCAAAAGTGGTAATTACGTAGGTTGACTTAATCTGTTGACACCAATAAATTGAGTAGTTTACAGGTGATCTGAAGACATCAGTATAAAGAATGAGGAGAAAATATTGACTCGTAAATAAGAGGTTAACATAGACAGTCCTACAACAAGCCTTGCAGTTGCATCAGAATAAATCTGATGACTATTTTTTTGTTCGTCTTGCAAATAATGATCTATTTTTTTTTTTTGGTTGTACATCACTAGTAAACAGACAGAGGGACTGCAAAGTTTGTGGTATGTGCTTTAATGAGTGGAAAAAATAGCGCAAATAGCTCTATTAGCTGCAAATAGCCTACAGTTTTAATTTGGCATTCACAGCAGTGATACTAGTCACTTAAAATTTAACTAATTTAATTGTAGAAATCTGGAAGCCATAGAATTTTTAAATGTTTTTGGTAATGACAGTCAAATCATAATAACTCAAGACTAATTTATTTGTTGAAAAGTATTTGCCAATTCTCATTAAATAGCATACATTAAATTATATTATTTATAATATTATATTATAATATTAAGTCGAAAGCCAAAGCAAGATATTTTTATTTTCTTAAGACAATATACAATATGAATATACTATTACACATTTGCTAGTGGTAATGCCATAAATGAGTCCTATTCTGCTCTAATAAAATTATATATTCCTTATAGTAAAATCTATATTTCCCAACCAACAAAGCGTAAAAAATGTCAGAGATTAATGGACCTCCGTCAACTATTAAACAAAACGCCCTCATCCCCTTCCCAGTATGTGTTTCACGTTAGCCGTTAGGTTTTTTTAGGCTAAGGTAGTATTGCCTTCAAGTGGCATTGTTGCAGCACAGATGAATATCGACATAACGTCAAAACATCATTCAAAAACACACAAAATCACGGAGGTCGCAATTAACATTGCCGCTAAGCTAAATGTTTATTTCAGTCAACACACCCCAGAAAAGAAACACAAATAGCGGCAATGAAAACAATACAGACGTGATCCCAAATAAAATGTTACATTCGTCCACGAATCAATAAATATACGAAATGCCATGAACTCACCTCACTCATGTGTGACTGCTGTAGAGCGAGCGAAACCACATACATCACATAGATAGACGGCCTTTAGACCGCTACTGCCTATTGGCACGGTGCAGCCGTGAGGCCGCCATCTTAGACCGGTCACCCGCGCCATTCAGTGTTATCTGTATGGCAGGTGATAGGAGCTGTCAGCACATTAAATTAATCGTACCTCACTGATTTTCTCTTGTTTTTTTTCCTGCAAAGGTCATTCATGTAGCTATGATACAGGACACATGGTTCTGCGTGTTTTAATATCCATAGTAGGCTTTACAGTAATTATAATATTCTGATATAAGATATAAAGTGACCAGACACAAAATGTGATATATGTGATGTAGGATATAATGTATTTTATAAATCACACACTATATAAATATGATAAAGAAGCAGAAACAGATTGTTGCAGTAAATTAAGATAATTTAATAAGTTTGAAGAAACAATTTATGATTTGTGACACACACACACACACACACGAACAGACACATAAATAAACACAAACAGACACACAAACTCTCTCTCACACACACTTTCTTTCTCACACACACACTCTCTCACACACACACGTACTCTCACACTCACACAGCATCATCTTGTTCAGGCCAGGTTTGGAATCCACCGAATGTAGCCACCTGTAAAAAAAAATTAGAAGCTTTTCAACGTGTTTGCATCAGTAATTTCCAAAAATTAAATTCAGACATTAAGCCTACCTTTGTATTGTGTGTGGATGTGGGAGGGGTAAATGTAGAGTCTCTCTGAGGTATTTGTATGCCTTTGGACCATGTAGATTGAGCGTGAGCGCAAACTCTCTGTAGTCTTCTGTGTACACGAGGCCTTGCTTTGCCACGAGGTCTAACTGAAGATCTGAAATGTAATGATTTAAAATGAATAAGTCCCCTTCAGAAAATAACTAAGGAGTTTAATAAAGAGAGTAAGAAGAATACATGTAAATGAATTTCAAAGTGCTATTTTTGTTTTACCAGAGTATAATTTAAGCTTCTCTTTGAGCTCGTCATTAATGAGGTTCTTTCCTCTCAAATCCCCCAAAATACTATTCACTGTAGTTTTTGCCCTCTTTTCTCTGGCCTTGGAATTCTTCTTCTCTCGCTCTAGACTTTCCACTCTTGCCAAGGCTTCATTGAGTTTGGTCTTAAGAGCGGTAAGAGAAACAGGCAAGGCATAGCGATGATCCTAGTAGAAAGAGGAATGAACATGGTTGAAATGAACATGAAGTGTATCGGTTTATTTATGAGCGTGTTTAATATGAGTGGCAGCAAACAAGTGAACAAATGTTCAGGAAACATTATATGATGTTTAAAATAGAAATATTCACATCATTAGGCTGAGGTTTTGGGCTTGAGGTTGCTATTTTCTGGGAATCCTTAGAGTCCACGGACTGGCTTTCTGCAGCTCTTCTGGAGGTAGACGTAGTCCTGACCTTTTCCAACTAAAAGGAAGAAGGATAATACATAAAGAAATTTGTATAAAGGGATAAGTATCTTACCCTGCGCCGTCATTGATAATGTAATATTTACATGTATGAATGCTTGTGAGGATACACCTACTCTTTTGGGGTGAACCGAGAAGCTGAAGACGGATGGAATAACATTATTTTGGAGTCGGACAGTCTGACCCGTCCTATCAAAATCACCCTGCTGAAAATGTTGAGAGCAAAGGACGGATGAATTACTTGCATGGAACCCTTTTCTCCTCATAGCCACTTCCCACTTCTTCCTCATAACTTTGTCCTTGGGAAACCTTCAAAATGAAAACCAAAGATATTGAAGAGTCTACTCTACACAAAAAAAAAAAAAAACATTTCACAAAAGGAAGTCAAGCTTATTTTCTTCCTTTACATTTCTTAGAACATTTCTTCAACAAAACTCACATTTTTAAATAAAGTGGATTTATTGCAGCTACAGTGTTTAGTTCAGCGAACAACAAAATAGGTTACTAGCTAAGCTACAAGTAGTGACTGCCCAACACTGATAATACAGTCCATGACACTTGTGTGAAATTCCCTGGTCAATGTTATTATACCAATAACAATTGTTTTATTTCCACATATAATAATTGTACATTGTTATCAATTGCAATGTAAAGCCATATTCGGATTAACTTTACAAGAGTAGATGGGGTAAGTTAATAATGTAATTTTACCACAGGACTTCTGTAATATTAATAGTCAATTCGCACGGGATAAGATATAGGTTATCAATAAAACTAGCAGAAGTGGGAGGGGTAACTCGATTTGAGCATCGCTGTCATGCGTGTATTAGCTACATTGCTTCCTGATATCACGTGCGTAAACACAAATAACCTAACTGTTATATATAACGTTGTATATATTCTATTCATACAACAGGGCAGTTGAATGCTTGTATCTGATAACCGAGAAGCTCGTGTAATTATTACTTTACCCCACCTCTCCGTGCCGGGTGAACACCAGCTGGTGCAGTAAACACAGCCTAGCTAACGTTAGCTGTTTACCATTTCAGTACAGTAATATCAAAGGTCCTTGCTCCTCCTCAAGTATCTGGTAATATTATATTCACAAAAGACAACCAATATTATGGTAATGTTAAAACTTACTTGTGAAATGTAATCCCCCGGCCCCTATTTGGTCCGATGGTCCGCCGATTAGAACAGGAGAATGCTGCACAGTGCTCTGGCATCTTCTGCTGCCACGCAACGAAACCCTACTAACGAAACATACAGAAAGAAACTAGGAATACGACTTATGAATACGACCGGTTAAACATGGCAGCCGGATTTCTTCGAGCAAACATGAGTGCAAAAAGCCCTTTGGAAAGCCTGGCCACTTCCGATGAAGTCCTTTTGTAGCAAATTTTGGTTGTAGTTTCATCATAGTTCCACTGGGGGCGATCCTCCAATTGCAAAATGAATGGGAGTCTATGGGGCTAGACGGCTAAATATGTCTCTTTCACCCGATTGCAGTTGAGAAATCTCAGATTTGATTGTAGGTTTTGCAAGTTCGATATGGGTTATAGGTCGAAAGTTGAATGAACGAGTACTTATGTCGTTTCGATTTCTTGAGTTGTTGTTGCTCATAACACGCTAGCATTCTGCTAATGGACGCTGATTGGTCAGGGAAGGACTGATTACGCCCAGAGACACCGCTTGATGGCATCGTGGCATCCATGTATTTACCGTGTGTCAGCTGTGTTGTCGATGCCTCCAGAGAAATGAAAGTGCAGAATGCAAAACATGGACATGTGTTCCTGAAAACTTTTAGAAAAAACCTGTTAGATCTACCTAAAGGCCTTTTTAAAAAAAAAAAAGATTTTAGCAATAACAAAGATAACTGATTGATTTTTTATCTATACAATATTACGATATGGTACAACTATACACTGCAGTGCAAATAGTAAATATAAGATGAAGTGAGAAGTAATGGTAAATAGTTTAGTCAATAAAATAAACAAACAGTAGGCTATACAGCAAATAAAACAGTAATGAAAAGGCTATATAAAATATAGGCAATATAAAATAAAATGACACAACAAGCTGCAAATGGATACTGTGATACAAAGAAATGTGATACAAAGAAATAAAGTAAACAATCGCCTGTTAGATATACACAAGCTGAATTATATCTCACGTTTAACCACTAGACTAGAGACATCAGAGCTAGCGGCAAGCACTAGCCGAGCGCTGTGACCCGGCGAAAGACTGGATATCACAACTCCGAAAACGTCCGATCAAATTTTTAAATAGGCGCTATATCTTTATGAATAAACCACAAATTTGAGCTTTAAACAACTACATTGAAAACTATTAAAACTACATTTCGTGACACAATAACATTAGTATTTTTAATTTTGCGGCTTTTCTCGTCAGCACACAAGTGACTGAAAGACTGCCGTAAAGGGGTCTGGTCGTACGTGTAGGACGTCATTGACATTTTAAAAGACTTTTTAAAGCAAATAAGTGACTCTAAAAAATCTAACACCCAGTAATGTGTACTTTCTTTGCATCTCCTTTCGAATACAACATTCAAATTGCTAAGATAAAAAAATATAAAAGTGGATTTTTAGGGGTCTAGCTCTTTTACTGTCTATGGTCTAGCTCCATTGCTATTCATTCTGCATACGTCCTGTGAGCGCCCTCATATGGAACCATGACATTTTTATGAGTCATTCTCGTTTCATACAGCGCAATTGCGCTCATGTGTTATTATAATAAAGCCTTTACTTCACACATTCGTATGTGTGAATTATGTTTTACTCGCCTTTAAAGGTCACTTATTCATTCCACGTAACAGCCTTGACAAGAAATGCTGCTTTTCTGAGCATAACGAATTGTAGCCCATAGAGTTATCAGAAATAGTATTTGGATATTTTAAAAGAACATGGGGCACAACTCTTTTTCATTCATTTTGTGTTTACTGCTCGTATTAAATGGTAAGTAGTTTTTTTTTTATAATTTGGGGACATTTTAATTTTGTGTTTTAGTAAAGCAGGTTTTGCGCTTGTTAATATTTTTTGCTGTTTATTTTCAAATAGCCTACATATATTTTAAATGAATGCAAATATTCCCTTTTAGACTTTCATCTTGAAGATGTGCAGCAGGCTATGACGATATTTAGAATATTAGGGTTTCGTTATATTAATACATTTTATTTAATTGCCGCCTTTAAAAGCGAAAGTTAAAAGCGCCATTAAAAGCGAAAATTACGGAGGAGAACTCCCGAAGGGAGACAATGTCTGTATTTAACAATTAACTCTTTCCCCGCCAGCGTTTTTAAAAAAAGTTGCCAGCCACCGCCAGGGTTTTTGACGATTTTCGCTAAATTTGAATGCCCCCGCTGAATATTTTCTTCCATGAATATATGAAGATGATATATATAAAAATAAAGATCTGAGCCTCTGCTTTTAGGCAAAAAAAACGTTTTTATTTTATCTTCATCTGTTCTTTTTTTATTGCCTCTTGAACAGAGGTAGGTTTTGTCAAAAACACAACATTTTGGACAAAAAACTGAGAAAAAGGTATTTTTATCAAACAAGTGTATTTAAAAGCAGAATACATTCAGATGTTGTTTCCTTCATATATAAAACTTTCCAAAATAAATTAAAAACATAAAATAAATGTAAAATATATCAAATTTCCCAGGATGTAAGGGAAATGTAACTTTTGCAATAAAACTTCTGCCTCTGCCTCTCTGTGTTCTACCTGTGAATAATGAATAATTGGAATTACAATAAACAGGCCTAGAGACACACACACACACACACACACACACACACACACACACACACACACACACACACGCGCGCACACACACACACACACACACACACACAAATACATATTACAATGTGGTAAATGTGCACAAAGAGAGAAATAATTTGACAATTACACCTTCATATTTAGACAGCCACACATAAATGCCTGCACACACACATACATATTATAGTGTCATAATATTATACGATCTATCTGCGGCACGTCCATGGCTAGCATGAACATGTGCATCTCTCTCACTGACTACTTCGTCCCGATCAGATTCAGAATTATCAAATAAAGAGTGATCGGACTCCGAGTCCATTAACCTCCAGTAGCCTACTTCAGCCATATACCTCTGCATTGTCTGTCTGATACATTCTCACTACTCCACTGTTTGAGACGATTGCAATCTGTTTCTCTAAACAAAGAGTTGCGCAATGAATCATTCAGGACATGCGCGCGGGTCTTCCTTACCGTATACCACCTAAAACACGGATACCCGGAAAATTTTTTCAAATTTTTTTCATTAAACACGGAAAATTCCGTGTTTGGCGGGGAAAGAGTTAAGCATGACCGGTGAACAGTGACATATTAGCACACAAAGCCCATCACATATTTCAATACTTCAAACTATGTTTGTATTGTAATTATGAATCTTTGTTTCTCTTTGTCCTTAAGGTCTATTTGATGCTGTGACTGATGTAGTGAAGTCAGTGTCAGTGATGGAGGGAGATTCTGTCACTCTAAAAACTGATGTTACTGAACTACAGAGAGAGGATCTGATCATGTGGATGTTTAACGTTTACCATTCAGACATTTGCATTGCTGAAATCCACAACCTCATCATCTCTATATTTGATAAAGATGAGAAATTCAGAAACAGACTCAAGATGGACAGTCAAACTGGATCTCTGACCATCAGAAACATCAGATCTGAACACACTGGACTTTATAAACTACAGGTCAGAGTCAGAGGAGGGGTCACTTACAGGAGTTTCACTGTTAGTGTTCATGGTGAGTAAAACTGAGTAAATCATGCCATTTTACTCTCAGTCTGTTATAGAAAATCTTAATTTATCCAAAAATCATTTATTTAGCATTTTCTTTTTTGGGTCTCTTTTCTCAGCTCATCTACCGATTCCTATCATCAATAGTGATTCTTCTAAATGTCTTTCATCATCAAGTCAGAATTGTTCACTGGTGTGTTCATCAGTGTTGAATGTGAGTGATGTGACTCTCTCTTGGTATAAAGGAATGAGTGTATTGTCCAGCATCAGTGCGTCTAATATCAGCATCAGTCTCTCTCTACCTCTGGATGTGGAATATCAGGATAAAAACACTTACAGCTGTGTGATCAACAATCCTGTCAGAAACCAGACCACACATCTGGACATCAGTCGACTCTGTCACACATGTGAAGGTACGTGATATTAGAGTCAAACGACAGTTCCTAATAAGTGGGTGTGGCAAAGTAATTTAATTCCAATTAAACTTTTATCTGACTCCATTATCAAGAACTCAAATTTAGGTTTGAATGGCAAATTATTGGTCATTTGTGATAGTTTAGCTACGCATTTGATTATTCTGATTAACCTTTGATTGAAATCACACCCGTTCATCCGAATTCAAAACTTTTGAGTTTCGCACCGCATACTCTACTTACTCATTCTAGAATATATTATTTAGTCCACATAGATCTGAACACAAGTAATTAAGGTAAGATTATATCTAACCAGAGGTCATGACCCTTACTTAACTTTGGCTCAATCCCAATTCACCCCTTGGCCCTACCCCTCCATTTTTTCGCATTCACGTCTAGGGGTAGGGTGTCCCGATTCTTGTTGAGATCGAAGGATAGGGCGAAGGCGTAGGGCCACATAGCCCTCGAAATGAGATTTTTCAGAGGCACACTCCAAACGGACGGCTACGAGAAAGTTCACAGAATGCATCGCAAATCGCTTCGCAAACGGTTAAACGTTTAAATTGAGCGCCAGATGACACCACCATGCACTTTATTTATTCTTACAATAATACTATAGTCGTTTAAATTAAGAAATCGTATAGTAAATGACCTTTCTGAATCAGAAAAGACATCATTTCGAGGAAGGAATGTTAATCACCATGTTTCCTCAAAGTTAAGAGCAGCTGCGCTGATTGTCAGTCGTTGTCATAGAGAAATCCTGTAGCGGCAGAGCTATCACCGACGATGGTGATGACGTATCGGGTCCATGAAGGGTTGTTCCATTTCGTAGGGGAATATTTCAACCCCTTGGCCCTTGTAACTCTGTTTTAAGGGCCAAGGGGTACACTCGAAAACAAGGGGTAGGACCAAGGGGTGAATTGGGATTGAACCTTTATCTAATGGCACTTTTTATAACCATGCCATGGCTTTCCGTGTACACTTTGAATTACGATAATCAGAGGTTGAGGCTCACCTCTATTTAGATGCAATAAACAATAAAAAGAAAACCCATTTTTTGACTCTACAGTCCAAGTACGCATGAGTACTTGGCTCTGAGCTCTAAAACATCAGTCGCATGCCCCTCTGGACAGGAGGGAAAGAAGCCTTCCCCTAATCAATTGTCTGAATAATCGTATATGCTTGTGCGTTTGCAGATCGGTTAAAGGGGTAATCTGGTCATTAAACAGACGGTGGTCATTATCATGAATATGGCATTTCACAAGATACAAACAAACTCTTCTCTCTCTAACACTCTAGTGAGAGTTTGTAGAGATGGTGCAACGTTACTTATAGTCAACTGAACGTGTTAAAGGGACCATCCAAATAAAGTGAAACCGATTTGATTACTGTATATAAAGCAGTGGTTCAAACTTTTTTGGTCATGCCCCCCTTTAAAACTTAAAAAATCTGGCAACAAGTCAACGGTCTGAAGATGATTCAGTGGAATTGGCGTTTGGTGCTGCTTTGTAAAGACAGAGCGACAAACCACCATTCCAACACATTCGTGTACTTGAACGCCATTCTCACACTTTGAGAACCACTGATGCAAAGAGTAAGGTATGAGTAGTCTCACCTCTCAGATAACACAGGTTGCTTTTGAAATTCAGATCTCCCTGAAGTCTTCCACAGTCATCTCAACTATGACAGCCCATTCTCACCCCCAAGGCGTCACTTAACTGACGCCTTGGGAAGCATTTGGACATGCTTCAATATCTGACGCTTTAGGCGCCCTTTAGCGTCAGTAAGATGACGCCCTAGGATCGCGTGTACCCTACCCCCACCCCACACCTAAACCTAACCTAAACCTTTCCTTTAGCGTCAGTTAGATAACGCCGTAGGATCGCGTCATGTAAGTGACGCTAAAGGGCGCCTAAAACGTCAAATATTGAAGCATGGTCAAAGGTGACGCCTTGGGGTGAGAATGCGTTGACTATGAATGTTTGCTGTCTTTTACAGAAGCGCATCATTCATTTATCATCATAATATCAGTTTTTGTTGCTGTGATTCTGGCTGGGGCTGTTGGTCTGAAATGCTGCAACAAGGTCATACAAGCTGGACACGAACACAAAGGCAAGTATCTGTAAAATCTTTTGTAGCTTTTAGATTGAGGTTTCGCTGCTTTGAACAATAAAATAAATTATTTTTTTAAGCAGTTCAGACTGATGAGGACGAGATTCATTATGCAGAAACAACATTTTGTGCACGAAGTGCTCACATGGTAAGACACTACTTTGTACAGTAACAAAAAAATCTGTCTTTGGAAACCTTTAGCTGTTACCACAGCATTCTGTTTGCTTACACATGCGATTGAGGATCATGAGATTTGTCTCATGTTTTTCCCAGAAATCACACAATGTTGCATTGAAGGCTCTGCATTTCTTAGTTTCTCTTTCTTTCTTACAAACAACAGGAAATGGAATTAGAACTCGTATACTTAAAGACTATTTAAAAATAAAATGGGGATTTAAGAATTTCATTTCATTTTAATCTTTGCTACTTTGATTCAAATTCATTTCAAACTCAGGAACTGAACCCAAAATAACATTCTTATAAAGTTATGCATGCAGCATGTCTATCTATATTTATACACTATAATATTAAATATTTCGTTCCATTTACTTAGTGAACTTCCGTTTTTCTCTAAACTCAGCACTTTTTTTTCTGTTTACTTCATGTCTGTTTTCTTACAGATGCCTGATGGAGAAGATCACACTGTGTCTTCAAGACTTGTTATGAGTTGATGTGTCCCATACAGCTCAAAAAATAAGAATGTACAATGCTGTACAATGTAAGCATGATTGGTTTTGAAAATAAATCTTTTTTTAATTTATTTTCCTAAGTGCTGTCTGGTGTAAATTTGGAGTTTGGGGTTTTCCTGGACTTTACTTTAATTATATGTTAACAATGCTCAGGTATCCGCAGCAGCGTTCAGGTGCTTTAACACTGAACATATAATAGACTGATATGTGATCCAGGATGAGTTCACTGAACCTTTCCAAGATGCTTTTATCTGTAAATGCATTTCCCATGAGGACATGTTTCCACAAGCGATTCAAGGTTGAAATCTTCCAGTCCATAATATAATCATGAACAGTGCCAATCTTTCCATTATAAAGAAAAATAGAGTGAAGAATGGAGTTCCTGTCAAAGTTTTATCTCCAATTGTATCTCACTGAACCTGAATGCATTCTGTCTCTATATCACAAACAACTTGTGCTCGTATCTTTGAAACTTTTAGGATTTATTCAACACGGTAGCAGTTAAATGGAATCTTTAACAGTCTAATTAGATGACTGTATTGAATTACTTAATCTCATATAAAAAAGTTGAACAATACAAGGAGGAAACTGATTCTTTCAAATAAATCAATTAAAATTGCATTAATTATTCTTGAACTGGCCAGGAGATACAAATTATTCTGGAACTGACCAGAAACTGGATTTGTAAGGATAGGCTCTTTAAAAGGGAGTATGTTAACTTACATTATACATTTCCACATTAGACATTGCTGTTAAATTCAGTATTTTATATAGAATTTTTTCTATAGGTTATTCAATGCAATTACTTCATAACTGACTGTAAAAATTAAAGAAAAATTAAAAGTAATCCCACTTACACCCAGAAATTAAGGGATTTCCAGACATTTCTTAGATTGCAGATAGAAAGTTCAAATGATTTTCACTGTTCAAATGTTTCTCAAGCAAATTTAAGCAGACTTGAGAACTGAAATAATGAAATTTTACCTAATACTGTATAGTGTCTAGTTTCAAATAAATTAAATATCACAAGCACAGCTGTTTCCTCTTAAGCATTCTTGCGATATTATTATTTTTGTTTTGGTTAGACTAGTCTGATAAAGTTAACAAAAATCTATATTCTACTCCCTGTGTTAGTTTGTATGTTTTAGTTTTTAATATTATTATTAAAAACTATTATCAGCCTATTATAATTTCAATAAAACGGACCTGTTTAACTTTTCGTTGAAAATAGGGTAAATAAAACACCGCTATTTTTTCTTCCTTTCGTTTCTATGCACTTAAAAGGTAAACATGAAGTTACACTCAACATGTGATATAGCCTAGCTTCATGACTGGGGTTAAAAATTTGCAATCGAAGCAGATCCTCACTGGAATAACTCATGACAAAACACTCCACTTTCATTTTGATGGGATATCTTTTCTCACAGCGGTTGTAAAATACTAGTTGTATGAGCGAACTACAGCCTTAATTACATTTGTGAGGAAACACTTTTTATTCATTTGGCGGACACTTTTTTTTATCCAAAGCGACACATTGCATTTTTTTACTTGCATAGGCATTGATTGCAACTTAACTAAAAAAACACGGTAAGTTATCACAAGGCTACTTGAATCAGGCTAAAATTGTTTATAATTAAAGCTTAGCGCTTCCTTGCATTTAGAAAACGCAAATTTTCATTTTCACATTCATTCATTTAAGAGATTTAATTATTGTTTTTTCATATTTGCAGACATGGAGCGCTCGATTCTTTTGATATTTTTGTGGCTTTTATGTGGCAAGTTTTTATTGTTAACCACACAACTAATTAATTAGTAAAATTGCTTAAACTGTTGTAATATAAGCAGATGTCTAAAATGGCCCCATCTCTTTCAGGTGCAGAGTCAGATGAAATGACAGGAGATTTCTACACTAATTTACCTGTAAACTTTTTAAACTAAACGTACTTTAGTTAAAGGCTTCCGTAAAGTGTTTTGGATTTGATCAGCTGTTATTTATTTTAGTTTTTATATGAATGTTTTTTTTTTTTTTTTCTTAACGGGTTTCTTGTGGTTTGCAGCTCCCAACTCCTACAATTACCAGAGATGATAAAATTTGTCCTTCATCGATGAGCGAATGTAGGGTGGTGTGTTCAGTGGTGAATGTAAGTGATGTGACTCTCTCCAAAGGAAACAATTTATACTCCAACACCAGTGTGTCTCACATCAGCAGTCTCTATCTGTATCTGGATGTGGAATATTAGGATAAAAACACTTACAAATGTGTGCTCAACAATAATATCAGCCAACAGACTCAACATCTCAACATCGCGCAAATCTGTCAGACATGTAAAGGTAGGCTACGTCAGTTGATTATAGACATGCGGGGAAATGTTTTTAGCTGTATGAATCTAAACTGTTACGATATCATTTAAACAACAGTTATTGGAAGGTTAATTTAGTTAGAATCTTCTGACAATATAATCAGCTGCTACGCCGAATATTTGTACTGAGATTGAGTTTAAAGGGACACTCCACCCATTTGCATTAAGCTTGTTAGAAATCCAGTCATACTATTGAACGGCTATGCAACACTCTCTCATTTTCCCCTGAGATGAGAGAAATACGCTATTTACCTTTTTCCCTTCCTCCTACAATGACGCAAAAATCATCTTTTTACGTCATTGAAGGAACTGTAAGAGGGGGGGATTTCTGTAAAGTCTACAAGCACTAAATCCCACCCTTTCAAACCCGCCCATAGGGGGTTGGGCCTAATGCGCTAACAGACCAATCACAGATCAGTGCCAGTGCCAGGGGCGGCTCGCCCATAGAGGGCGCTGGGGCGCCGCCCTCCCTCCGACCTGTCTGTCTGTTTTTTTAATATATATTATAATTTATCATTTTGAAAAATAATCTGTGTTAATTATATGCTAATAATGGTTTTACTTTGAAAAGTGTTTTGAACTCACCAGAATGAAATTTGCATTCACTTTCGTTACTTTTATCATGTTGGTGTAGTAGTATAGCCAATAGGCTGTCTTCTCAGGGCGCCAGTTCGCTCAGCCCCACAGTGCTGGAATTTAAGCCAATGGTTCCCCGGTTGCTATGCAAAAAAGTTTATATTTCGCCAATCAGCGTCGTCAAATTTTATGGATTAGGGGCGCTGAAAATATCGCCCACAGTATCAGATTAGGGGAGTGCACCGTGCACGCGCACCACGGGACATTTTTTTACCTCAGATGAGAGCAGAATGGCAGCGCCAGTGACGTCGAGTGGAAATAATGTAAAGTTAGTGGGAATTGACCTGTCTGTCTCTGTCACTCACACACACATAAACACTGTTTCACACACGTTTGATATTAAAATAGTTATAGGAATATTAATACCTGTGTGTTTGCTTTGTTTTTTGATGTTTTTAAGTTCTGAGCTAGATTACTGTGTTTCATACTAGTTAAAATCAACTTTCTTCTCATACTTGGGTGTTACCCTCAAGAATGTTGTCCCACCCTCTCTTTCAGAGCCTTTTCTCTCTCTCTAGTATCAACACATTGTTATCCATTATCCAATTGTCAATTTGTCAAAAATATGTAGTCTACAGCTGGGGACTGATTAAACTAGATACCTATTATTTTTTGTATTACCTATATTATAATTTATCAATATTATGCATTTGCACTTTTTCTGTCAGCACACAGAGCATAATAAACATGCAACTTGTTCATTATCATTAACTGTCAAACTGTTATTATTATTATTGTATTATTTGACCATTGGTATTGACTGGTTTAAGTTATTTTATTGGTATAGGTAAGGGCATGGCCTAAGGCCTAAAATGCACCAGAATGCAGGAAATCACATCTACTAAATTCAAAATTTTCTGGGGGGGGACCCCCAGACCACCTTCTTATTCAGCCCCCCCTCAAAGATTTTTCACCAGCCGCCACTGGCCAGTGCATTTGATTTCACCAGCAGAAACTTTTTGAAAATATGGATGAAGGTAGGCAACTGAATTCACAGACAGATGCTTTATGGAAAGGGATGGGTACCGAAACACGGTGCAAGTAAGAAACCGGTTAAGACGTAAATGATAATAACCAGGCCAAATAAGAACGGACATTTCGGTGCCTGAGTCTCTGTGAATGAGGTGTACACACACAAAGTCTCTCTCAAAGGGTCCCATTATGCTCATTAACAGGTTCATAATTTATTTATGGGGTATAGAATAGGTTTACATCAGGCCAGATAATGCCTGCGTAGCCCACTTGAAAAAAATATAATCTAGTGTGATTAGTCAAAGTCAGACTCATTTAAAAACGCGTGTCAATTTCAAAAAGTTTAATAGAAGTCGCCTTTGGGTTCAAAGAATGCGTCAAAACCGCCGCCATCTTGGAAAAGGGGTCTTGTCAGGAAGTGCTAATCTCCGCCTGTACTTTGAATTCATGGATTTTCAGGCTTTTGTGCTGCGTATGGATGTTCACACATTTTGATTCTCAATGATAAATACATATCTAATGATGTATGGTGATTTTATTTCCGTTAGACCTTTGCATACATTGACGCGAATGCATTAAACATAGACAGTAAAAGAAATGGACACAGCGACCCCATTGGCCATTAGGTCTATGAAGGCGCTATATAAATGCAGTCCATTAAAAAAGCTGATCGCCAGACGTACTGACGCCAAAATGAATGGGAGTCAATGGGATGCTAACAGCAGGTGAAGTTCTGCTACAATGGCGGCTTCCGCGAGGCTTCAACTTCCGGCTAATGGACACACATATTTACTCAAAAGTCTTTTAATTATCAAAATAAACCCTGTAAACATAAGAAAATAACATGTTTCTTTGACCTAGAAATTAAAAATGAGTGCAGAAAAAAATCCCATAATGCAATTACTCTACAGTATTATACTGTATTACGAAAACAGAAAACTGTTGTATATTTAAAGACTGTAAAAAATACTGCATGTTGCAATTTTATGAAAATACAATACAATACTATTAACTATAAAGTTATACAGCATGACAACCTAAACTGTCTGAAAAACTGTATGATTTTTCTATTTTAATTGGGACAGACATAGAACAATCAGTGA